TTCAAAACTAATTAAAAAATGTTATTTCCAAGCGTATGAGGTTATGTGTTAAAAGACACCAAAGATATAATTTTTTAAAATTATTTTTTCCCATTATTACTATGTGAGCTATTAGGTATAGTTGTCTGATTCGGCTGGTCCGACTTATATACTACATGCTAGGGATAGAAGACTTTTGGCAAAGTTTCAGCACGATAGCTTTAAAACTGAGGGACTAGCTTGCGTAGAAATGGACGGACCTGATTAAGAATATATATACTTTATGGGGTCGGAAACATCTCTTTCACTGCGCTGCAAACTTCTGACTGAAATCATAATACCCTCTGCAAGGGTATAAATATTTCACTACAATTAAAACAAGAGATAACGATAAAGTCGATGGCCTCGATTATTAGATACCCGCTAAAGGGAGTTGTAGTGTTATAGTCGTCTGTTCTTATTATTTTATTACTATTAACAGTTCAGCTTCTTGGTCTTATTCTAAACCCTCTAATCACTTAAGTAGGACAATTGTATTTTAATACCCTTTACTCGTAGAGTCTAGGTCTAAAGCGCATTATACGTCTAAGTCAAGCCGGTTTGTTTCATACTTTGTCACGACCGCACTCTGTCACATCGCCCGGAGGGTCCGTCAGAAACGAGAAATAAAGTCAAAACCCAGTGTGCCTTGCCCGACTGAGCAAGACCTGCCGCGAAGGGCGAGCGGTCGACCGATTTGTGGTTTCAACAGGAGCAAGTCCAGGAACAGCGATCGTCCAGCCTCGCAGCAAGCAAGATAAGGAGCAGATCAGTGGACATCAGCTGCGAACGCCACGCACGCCACTTATTGAGTAGCGCACGAACGTCACGGACGACAAGCAATAGGGTGAGGAACGGTCGAGTGCGCTTGGCGTAAAGTGAAGTGTACTGCTAGGCAGTTAGCCTTGACTGTCAGCGCGAACTAAGCGAAACTCAGTGGGACCGTCCGGGGCAGAGCAAGTTACAGGCGGTCATTGTCTCGAAAGGCGTTTCGCTGGAGACCAAGCCACCTGTTCGCCCTAGTCTGAGAACGGTGACGCTTTCCTAAGCCCGCAAGGCCCACCTACCTGTGAGTCCAAGGCCCTACAAGCGGCCTCGAGTCAACGCGTCGGCGAGCAACCAGGCGAGGGACACTACGAGCATCCCGAGATACAGGAAGGAGTCAGCGATCACCGAGTCAACGCGTGTACTAGCCAAGAGGAGCAGTATCAGCAGACATTGGAATCAGCGCGAGACGACACCGAAACCAACCGAGCCACCCACCCGCTGTAATAATTAGAACGAAAATAAATCCTTTGAATTCTGTGGTTTCTCACTGATCTAGTCACGTCAGTCACGTCATACAAATTTTGTGGGACGAACAGACAATCTACTGAGCTAGCCGCACGATTCTCGTAGCGAGCAGAACAACAAAATCAGTTCGTTACATATAGCGCCCAACGTGATTGTCCCAACAGTGAGAGCAACAAAAGTAAAACGGGAAAGAAGTAGATTTACCGCCTCAAGAAGGAGGACTTTGTCCAAGTTGCACAGAGGATCAATATTACCCTGGATGGTAGATAAGATGACATGAGGAAGGCATTGTAGGAGAATTATTCAGAGACGGAGCACGACCCACTACTCGTCAATATCTGGGCCGAGCTGGAAGGAGCATACCACAACAGAGCCGGCCCAAGCATCACGCTAAAGAACGCCGAAGGGGACAGCCTTGTGGCAAGTTTGAGCATCGACAACTTGCAAAAAGAGGCCCATAAAAGAGAGTTAAGGAAAATAGCAGCGCTGACGTTGAGACCCAGCCAGTTAAACTCGCTAAACAAGTCCGCGAGTGGTCGTTCCTGGAGCAAGTAGAATGAAGAAGTAGCAACACATACAGCCTGGACTTAGATGGCTACCTCCAAAGCAATGGCGGAATTGCTAAAGGGCAGGGCTTTGAAGTGATTCATTGTCTACAACAAGCAATGAACCTGGGCGGAATTCATAAAAGCTTCCACACCTATTTTCTGCCTAATTTTACCAGGTTGCCGTATCAAGTCAGGCAACGGAAGGCTACAGCGAGACGTTCAATGACTACATAATCAACATGCAGATGATGGTAAGGCCACTTAGTTATTCTACGAGGGAGACCATAAGGATCAACAAGGAGAACTGCACCCCGAGTCCAAGGATCTTCCTAAGAGCGTTCAAAGTGTCGGACCTGGATTCGCTAATGATCTTAGCCGACGGGAGCGGGAAGCGTTCGCACAGGAGAACAACTTCTCGAGCAGTAGAACTTCTCATGCAGAAGATGCAACGAAACAGACAACCAGAAGAAACGGGGAAATGACCAATTGTCACCCACAGCGAGGCTTACGGCAGCAGGCAACCGACGTAGGAAGCCGAACGACAATTGCAAGGTTGGCAGCCCGGGACTACTGGTCAGTTATGTATAGAGACGCTCGAGCCCTTGTGAGGAAATGCGAGACATGCATGAGACTTAGACTGAATCAAGCGGCTGGCAAAATGCTTACCCAAGTACCAGACGAACCGTGGGCCTGCTGCTGTTGGTCCTGATAGACAATTTTCTAAATGGACCACTGCCGCTGCGCAGAGCGACAGCCGAGTCGATCAAAAAAACGTTTAGGGAGCGCATAATCGCAAGTTATGGGGCTCCGATGGTGGTCTTACCGGACGAAGGAGTGCAGTTTGCGTGCCGCATTTTCAAAAGTTTTCTGACTGAGATGGGTATCAGACAGCAATTCACCACACCCTGCACAACCCAAGACAATCCGACAGAGCGAGCAAACAGAACGGTCATCATAAGGCTACGGCACAAGAACACGATAAAGGCAACGGGAACGCATCGGGCGTGATCAAGAGTAAATTGATTACTCCACGTAGAAGGGAGTATGCGCGGAGGGTAGAAAGCTCAGTCCAGACACACACCTTAGCATCCGGTAGTCGATGATCATCGACGATCACACGACGATAAGGAGGAGAACGCAGTAACGACCAGCGATCTGGGGTTCGATAGTCGATGAGTATCGATATCCCAATGGGAACACAGTAAGTATCGTCGCGCGTGAGTTTAAATTCGTCGAGGCAGGCGCAGATGGAAAGAATGCAAACTTAATCGAGAACCGCAGCTGTATAACTCAGGATAGAGGTGTGAGCATCGAAGGAGAATCAATAAAGCAACGAGGGAGCGTTAACGGAGTCATCGAGAGCATCACAAAGACTAAATGGCTACTGGATACACGAGGATTAAAGCAGGAGAGGAGGAACGAGTTTATTTTGTTTTCCGAAGAAAGGGGGGAGTTTCTGGAGTTGAATAACTCCCCAGAAATTGCAACGGCAATTATATATGGTGGCCTGCCGGCTACTAGATACGCGGCGAAGAGAGAGGGAGTGGAGACTTCGATTGCAGAGTCGCTCTTTGGACTCTGCCGTGGACCTTGGACCAGGAGAAGACGTGCCACATCTCAGCAGCGGCTCGGCGCGCCTGCGTGCCATATGCTACAGGAGGCTCAGCAGGATAGCGCAAAGACATCGGACTCCAGGTGGTAGCCGTGGGTCTAGGACAAAGAGGCCAATCTGGATCTGTGGACCTTGGACCTGGAGTGGAGAGTACCAGCGGGCGAAGCGCAAATGGAAAAACCACACTACCAGCCAGAAAGGGGGAGCTGTCGACCGGTTGAGGCAATTAAGAGGCGTTGTCCTGGAGGGCCCAACGGGCCAGCAAGTCCCGGAACAGCGATCGTCCAAGGCCTCAAAGGACATTCAGTCTCGCACAAGCATGATAAGAAGCACAGCAGAGGACATCGGCAGCGACATCAGTTGACATCAGCCACGTCATGAACGACAAGCAATAGGGTCAGGCTGGTGTGAAACGTTCGTCTGCGCTAGGCGTAAAGCGAAGTGAACTGCTAGGCAGCCTTGACTGTCGACGCAAACTGCAAGGGATAGGCGGTCATTATCTAGAAAAGCGTTGCCCTAAAGAGCGAGGCACGTGTTCACCCTAGTCTGAGAACGGTTTGAATTCTGTGCTTTCTCACTGATCTACTGGGCAGTCACGTCATTTAAATTTGTTGGGACGAGCCCACAATCTACTGAGCTAGCCGCACGATTCTCTTAGCGAGCAGACCCAAAAACCAGCTCGTTACAGGGGATGGCCAATAGCCTGAAGGAATTCGGTCCATCGCATGTGGAGGTTAAGCAAAAAATAGAAAACTTAAAGAAGTAAATGTTTGAAACTTTAACTAGGGATACACATAACACTAACATTTTTGTCCTTCGACCTGTTTTTAGAGTCGAACTAACGATGGAGGGACCTTCGAAGGAAACCCCCCTCGACATGAGAGTATTTTTGATACAAGGGTCAGGAGCAGTTGACATGCAGCCAACAGACTGCACATGTAACGCATAACGCAGTCAACATAAGAATATCTCAATAATACTAATATAATGACATTTTTGCAGTTTTCTCATGCTTGACCAGCGATGGGCACGACGACGACCTGGACGAGACCAATACCACTGGGTGGTATAAGGACGATCGGTTTATTCAAATTATACAGCAAAAGTTGGAGGTGATGGCTCAAAAGACTTTCGATTTTCATCGCGAGGTGCTGGACATATGGTAGACGCATGCCACGAACCCAAAATAATACAAATTGGCAATACATACATACTTATAAGTCGAAATAAATACCATCAAATAATATGTGTTTTAGTAATTCTTTATTTATTAAACCATTAAGCTCTAATGCTTGTTATAACTCTTTAATTTACGGTTCTCACCGCCGAATTTCTCTTAAGAATTTTCACAAGGTTTCCTTCTGCACTATTTTGACCTTGCACTTTTTATTCCTCGTCAAAATAATAAGCGTTCTTAAAAATTCGAAAAAAAATATGTAATTGGGTTTATAGTAGTCCTTACAACCGCGAAATAAATATCCTTAATGGACCGCGTTTCCTTAAAAACTCGCGAACCAATATATTTTTTTTTAAAGATAATCTGAAGAAATCGAGTTTTTTGACTGGCAGGAGCAATCATAGTCATCGATGGACCACTTGTGAATGTCGATTGCAAACAAATTTAGTCTTAATCTGTAAAGAATAAAATAAAAGGCGAGTATAGAACTCGTCAAATCTCGTCAAATCAAACCTCTCGCCGCCCACAAATTTCAAAAAATCGTAAATAGGAACTCGGATATCTCGGAAACTATCAAAGATTAAGAATTGGGATTTCAAATTTAGATTCCGTAGCTTTGTATGCAGCGCAAGTTTGGCACGCGAATATGCCACGCCCACTCTTACCCCCAAAAACCGCCTAAGCCTGTGGCGCCCACAATTCTCGTGGTAGATACAAAATTTTAACTGAAATGTATTAGTCTCGTCAATACCTATCGATTGACCTAAAAAGTTTGCAACGCCCACTGTAACGCCCATATGCTTAAATCAGTCTACCACCCATATAGCCATATATTGATATAAACGCAACACCCTTGCGACCGAATTGACCACCCCGACATATTCTATGGATGTAGTTCTCGCGGTTTAAGGGCAGATCGTAATTGATGACCAAAGAGACCTGCTGCACATCAATACCACGCGCCAGTAAATCAGTGGTAATCAAGACGCGAGAAGAGCTCGAACGGAATTGTTTGATGATGACCTCAGGATCTCGCTGCTCCATGTCGCCGTAAATAGCCGAAACGGTGAAGTTGGGGCTCGACATCTCCTCGGCTAGATGGTCCATCTGGTATTGCAGAAGATAGACGACTGGGTAATGGACAGTGTATCGTACATATTGCATAGGGTACCCAGTTTCCAATTTTCTTGCTTAACGTTTATGTAAAACTGCTTGATGCCCTCGAGAGTCAATTCTTCCTTCTTCCCCAGAATGTTGGCGGACAGATGACCTTCACGTCTGGGGGCACCATCTTGAACACGTCGAGGATCTGGTCTTCGAAACCAAACAGCTTGATATACTGGGTGCGCAGCACCTTATGGTTGATCATGTCGTGGACGCAACCAGGCGTGCCCACCACGACATGGCACGTTAGTGCCTCCGATGCATGCGTGTGAGTGCACCTTCATATACTCTCCTAGAGCCATCACCAGACGCTGGCTTTATCGATCTGCTGAAGGATAGCAATCGAGATGGTTACAGTCCGGCCAGTTAAGATTATAGATAATAGATAGGTAATTTATAAAAGATTACGTGACTGGTGCTAGCTAGAATGTTGGGAGCTAGAATGTTAGAATTTACCGTGCAGATTCTTGGAGTTTGATTCATCGGAGTGCCACGCCAAAGACATTAGACTAACAATATGCGAATTTCTTGCACACGATTTTTTCGTGTTAGCTCTAGAACTGGCTCCAGGCTCTCTTAAAATTCTGTACCAGAGCCAGAAAGAAAGAGTTCTAGAGCCAGCCGCTTTCTTGTACACATACAGCAACAACCAACCCATCCCTTCAGTTCCAAAAAAAAAGTTTCACTTATGTATAACCTTGTGAATACCGCAGGAAATATCACTTTGCACGAGTGAAGAACAAGTGACACTCAGCATAAACAATTGTATGGGATTTCTGCTTTTTCACAAGTAAAAATTCAAATGAAAATTTTTCGAAGTCACTCGGGGCTTATTGTTAAATAGCATAGTTTTATGTTTCTCGGAAACTATCAAAGATAGAGAATGGGAATCTAAAATTAAGATTTCGTAGCCTTGAACGCAGCGCAAGTTTGTTACGCGAATATGCCACTCTATCGCATACAAACCACCCAAACCTGTTGCGCCCACAATTTGCATGCTAGATAAAAAATTTTAACTGAAATGTATTGGTCTCGTCAATACCTATCGATTGATCCAAAAAAAATTGCCACGCCCACTCATTTCCCTTTCGTCCCTTTAGCTGAGTAATCTGATAGTTGACGTACTCGACTATAGCGTTCTTTCTTGTTTATTTGTATATTTACCTTTTAGAGCTGATTATAACCCTTTGCGGGATTTTTATTGGCACAAAACATTTTACCATCCACTTTTGGCTAACGGAACCCATAAAACACCTTCAAAATGTACGTTCTAAACCAAGATCAATGCACAACATCTTAAACTTTATGTAACACCTACCTGATTTTTTCTTCACTTTAAGGAACGAAATAAGTAAATCTGCTACGCACAGTTTAAATGGCTTGCTTCCCTTTCAATAACTCAAACAGAATGCACCAAGTCTTCTTCTCACCCCCTTCCTTTCAAGAAAATAAAATTTAATAAACGACAATGTTAACAGCGTGCAGTAGATTCTGGTGATGTTATGATGGCGATAACGATGAACGATGAAGAAGTTATCGATGTGTGTGAGTAATTTCAAATTAAAGATTTTGTGAGTTGCTATAAGTGTGATTGGTGTTACAACGTATGAAACTAGCAGAGTGGTGTGTGTTATATCACTGTGGACGGCGCGCAAGAGAGCATGCGAAGACAACTACTATACGAGTATATAGCCGCAGAATTGAAAATCTGCAATTATGGTCCGATCATAACGAGTGATACACCAATCGAAAGGTATCGCACTAACTAAGAAGGTTTAATACCAAGACTTTCGAAATATAGATTTCTTTGGGAGAAAAAAGGGTGAAAGTGTAAAAGTAAAAATTTAGAAAATTTGAGCTGCTGGATACGGTGAGGATAAAAGCCCCAAGCTGTTTAGCTAGTTTTATTTTTACTGAGAATACGCGTCGAATGACACCTCATTTGTTGAAATCCGATGTTCCGTTCAAAAGTAATTCAAAAAACAAGATTTTCTTCATCTTCCCAAAATGAAAATGTTTGTCCCTTTGTGTGTGGGTTTGTATGCATCCCATCTTAGTTTTAGGGTTTTGGAAACCCTATGGGTGTATAAAGTAGCTTGAAATAGAAAACGTTTGTTCTACGACTTTTGGAAAAACCCGCTAGTTTAGCGGAAAATCAAAAATAAAAGCCAGATTTAAAATGCTTATAGTAGCTAAACAACTAATGCTACAGAAACGTGCTGTATATCTCTGAAAAAAATTTAATTTGCTAAATACTCTTTTCATAGTATAATTGCATGAATATAATAGACTTAGAGTTACAATAAAAAGTTATTTTTTAAAACCACTTTTTGACTATTTTCTCAAAATCGAGTCAAACGATTTCTTTTTAAATTTTATATCATGTAGCCCTTGAGATTCCTTAACTTTTGATATATAATACTTTTTACCCTAAAAATTACCGTTTGGAGATATTAAGCGATAAAAAGTGCAACTGGTCACAGCTCCGTAAACGTAATATTTCATACTTATTGGAATAAACAAGAAAAAAACCAATTTGATGAAAAATATTCTTATTAGATTTTTTCAAACGAAACATCTGTTATGGTTTTAGGGTCCTTTACTAGCTTGAAGTTAATCGAAATAGGAAACTTGATCCGCTAGTTCAGCGGGAAATGTAAGAAACGATTCTCTTGGAATCTGAAACTATACAACCCTTGAGATTCCAAACTTGTGCTATTAAAATAGGTAATTGAAGCGGTAAAACTTGTTATTAAAAAGTTTAATATTTATATTATAGGTTTGATTCTTATTAAAATATGAGTGTAAACAACCCATACCTTATTAGAATAAAGTTAAGCCGAAGTGGAACATGAAAGTGTGTGTTTGGTTTTTCAATAGCCAAGCCATATGGGTACGACTCCTAGTCATGGTATTGGGGTACTTAAACTCTTGTGCAAAAAAAACTTCTGATATCAAACAAAAACATATCTTAACGAGGTAAAAAGTAGTGGCGAAAGCGCTCCTAACAAAAATTTCTGATATCAACAATTGTGACGAAAAATGATATTACATTCGATAAAATAAATAAAAGATATTAAATTTATGTATTCGGCACGCTACAGCAGAAAATTTACGTGTAGGTAAATAAATATTTTCTGTTGCGGGCCGAAATCATAAATTTAATATAGTTCATTTATTTTATCGAATGTAATATAATTTTTCGTCACAATTGTTGATATCAGAAATTTTTGTTAAGAGCGCTTTCGCCACTACTTTTTACCTCGCTAAGAGGGGTTTTTGTTTGATTAAATATTAATATAAGCAGCATGAATAAAGCAGGTAATCGACGTCCAACTTTCAATTGGTTCATTTCCAAGTCAGCGATAGATATCGCTATACTTGAGTAGTGTTGGATAATGCTGTCTTGTTTGTGTATACTTTGAGCAATTTAACAAAGTATGCGAAATGTCTTCATTGACGTTGCAAGAATCACAAAGAGCGTTATTGTAATTTTTCATTTTGGAAAGCGTGTATTTATCAAGGGCGTACCCTCTTAAAATTCTGTTCAGGATTTTCGTTTCTAGGCGATTGAACAGGTCTTCTTCGTTATTGAACCAAGGATTGGAAGGGGTTTACGGGGTATATTCACGCTCCCAGTCTTGTTTTAATTGCGCGAACATATGATTGATAGCGTCGTTGAGGGTCCATTTGATGGATATAAAAGAGCCGCTAATCCTAGCACTTTTAGCAGCTGTATCTACGAGATCGTTTTCCCAAATATTGGAATGACTTGGAATGTGGTGAAACTAATGGACAGCAGGGTTTATGATTTTTTCCAGAATTGAGAAATGCATCTTTTGGAGTTCGAGTTCATTATTGTCTGTATGGCACCAAAACTGTCTGTTAAAAAAGCTATTTTGGAGAAATTCGTTGATATATCGAGATCCATGGCTCATTCTAGGGCTGTGAGTTCAGCAGTCAGCGACGAAAGTTTTTTGTCGGTGTAATTTTTTTTTTTAATTGTGTTTGAATTCAAGAAGAACCATCCGGGAAGATTATTTTGATATTTTTGGAGGTACTTTAACAAACTGATTTTGTTGGTCTGGTCGCTACGAGATTCGTGCGGCTAGCTCAGAATATTGTGTGTTCGTCCCACCAAATTTATATGACGTGACTGCCCCGTAGATAAGTGAGAGCACACAGGGTTCGAATGGTAACAATGGGTTATAGTCTCGTGTTATCAATACAGCGGGTGTGTGGCTGGGTTGGTCTCGGTATCTATTTGCTCTGGTACCACGGGCTGCTGATGTTCCTCGTTCTGGCTTATCGACGCGTTGACTTGACGTCCGCTGGCTCCTGTGTCTCGGGACGATCGTAGTGGCCACCTCTGCTCGCCTGCCGACGCGCTGCCTCGGGGTCGCTTGTCGCGCCTTGGACTCGCAGAGAGTTCGACCTTGCGGGCTTAGGAAAGCGTCACCGTTTTCTGACTATGGTGAACAAGCCTTGATCTCCAGGGAAACGCCTTTCGAGGCAATACCTGTCCCTTGCTCTGTCTCGGACGGTCCCGCTAGGTTCTTGCTCAGATCGCGCTGACAGTTAAGGCCAACGCCAGAAAGCTGCCTAGCAGTCCACTTTGCTTTACGCCTAGCGCAGACGAACGTTCCACTCGGCTTCACCCTGATGCTTGACATCCGCGACGCTCCGAGCGCTTTTGCGATCCCCAATGAGCTTCGCGAGGCGATGGTAACGTGAGTGCCTGTGGTGACTGCTGGCGTCTACTGGCATCGCTGCCGATGTCCTCTGCTCTGATTCTTGACTTGGGTGTCCTTGGGCAACTGCCGTTCCGGGACTTGCCGAGCCGCTGGGCTTCTCCAGGACAACGCCTCTTGAATGCCTCAACGGGTCGATCGCTCGCCCTTCCTGACTGGTAGCTTGGGGCTTTGGGGAGTTGCTGTTCGGGAACTTCGTAGGTAGTCGCAGGGCTCTCCAGGACAACGCCTCTTGAAACCAAAAATCGATCCACCGCTCGTCCTTCACGCCAGGTCCTGCTTGGTTGGGCAAGGTATGCTGGGTCTTAGACAACTTTCCCCCCGAGCTCACGATTCCTCGTTACAGGCCCTGCAGACCCGCCGGTCGATTCGCCAGGGTGTGGTCGTGACAAAGTTGGAAACCAAACGCCTTGACTTAGCCGTGTGATGCCTTCCGGACCTCAGCCACATGTGTCTCAATTGGGAGGTTCCTTATGTCCCAGTCCCGAACGTCTTGACGTAGCGATCTTGCTCCTTGTAGGCATCCCACGGCGCTGCTTCCGACGAGTCGCCTTGTTTTGGCTCCTAGTTTAGTACCTATTAAAAGCGGTTGCGGAGGTTTTTTAGGCGGTTTTAAATGTGTTTTGTATGAGTTGTCTTTAATTGCAAGCGTATACTCATCCCATAATCAGTGTGTTTGGTATTCCACGGAACCCTGCCGTTTTATTGCATTTAAAATATTGTGACCCCTCGTTATCTTCTGAGAATGAGCAGGAGAAAGTGAACGTGCGTACCAACGAACCCGAATCTCACCCCCTACCCTCGAGTCCTTGCTCATGCCTGCTTGTGCGCGAAGGTGTGAAATTTTAATTTTGTGAGTTTTGTTAAAAATGTGCAGTTTTTATTTTAGAACAGAGAAAATTATACC